CTTATTTTTATCTTTTTTTTTTAAAGAAAGTAACAGCCATGCTCATGAGTGTGACGTGTCACCTCACTGTGCTTCTGGTTTGTGTGTCTGATGACCATTGAAGCAGTCCAAAAACACCTCTAAGGGTCGCTGGATGGTGGCCATTCTTACAGCTTTAATTTGGTGGGTGTTGTTAACTGTGCTTTTTGTCTGCCAGGAGTTGTGATTTGTGGGGGTGGAGGTCACATGTCCTCTAAGAAAGAACTGGGCAGGCCGGGGATTTAGCTCAGTGGTGCCACGCCTGCCTCGCAAGCACAAGGTCCCCAGTTCGATCCCCATTACCCAAAAAAAAGAAAGAACCGGGCACAGTCTCCAGATAGAAATGATTTTATAGACTGTCACAGCGGCTGGTTTTATCCTGGTAGCTGCAGTTTGGCCCAGGTTCTTAGCTGGATCTCTGCACCTAGTTCAGCCCAGGGATCAGTGGTGGATGCACGTAAAGCATGGTTTGGCAAGGCCTCCAGCTGCGCTGGCCCATGCTGCCCACCAGGTCTTCCTTCCCAGCACACACTTCTGTCTCGGGACGTTGACTGGCATCACTGATCCCAAGCAGCTGGAGCGAAAGGACGCGAGTGCCGGTGTCATAACAGAACAGTTTGGTTCTGCTGTTTGAGTTGTGAACCTGACATGGGATAAATCAGCCCATGACCTTCCTGGGGGCTGCTGCCCTCCCCACGAGCAGGGTCCCTGCCAGTGTCACCCTGTGCCTGGCGGAGCCTGGACAGACATGACAGGAGAGTGTCACGTCAGGAGGGCACTCTCGGCTGGCTGTGGGAGGAGGTGGTGCTGACACTCATGGCATCTGCAGTGTACTTTGTACTCCTGCATTTCTGTTTTAGGCCTTATGCTGTTCCCCTGAGGCTGGCCGTGCTGCTGCGCAGGTTCTGTGCTCCATTGGCCAAGGGGCTGCAGGCAGATTTCTGTCACTGGATGGTGCTGGCAAGACATGGCCTAGGGGCACAGGTGTTGATGGCCACCAGCAGTGGGGTTTTTTTCCTAGCAGACATGGCCTAGGAGGACAAGGGTTGCTAGCATGACAGTTTGTATCTCAGAAGATGTGATCAGGGAGGACAGGAGTTGATGGCTTGAGGGTCACTAGCATGCAGGTTTGGCTCTGAGAGGACGTGGCCTAGGAGCTGGGTGTTGATGTGACGCCACCAGCATGTGGGTTCGTGTCCTAGAGGATGTGGCCTAGGCACATGGGTGTCAGTGGGCTGTGGCGACTTGCCTGTGGGATTGTGTCTGCTGAAGGGGGAAGAAGTGACACCAGAAGGTTTCTGCTGATGTCCATCTGGGCTCTTTCTCTCCAGCTTCTGAGAAGACAACCCCACCCAGTGGAGGATGGTCAGAAAAGGAATGTTGTCTTTTTTCGGATGGCTTCCTAGGGAATCCTGCTCATCATGTCCATGAACACACACCCCTTCCCACATTGCTGTGTGCCGTACCGTCTTGGTTTTTGCTCCAGGGGATAACAAGCCACATTCTCCTGGAAGACCACTACCCAGGGGCCCCTAGGTGTCTGTGTTGCGGTGAGCTGCTTGCCACAGAACTCTCTCCGTAGCCCTAGTTTGGTCTGTCCAGCTTTTCCATGGCTCTGTTTGAGCCCTTGCAGTTGAGAATGTGCCAGTGGCTGCTGAGCCAGAGTGAGCTTGAGTGGGGCTTGTGGCCTTTCTGGTTCCCTGTTGGATACAAGAATAGGCAACAGTACTTTTTCTGTACTATCTGGTAAAGTGTATTCATGTGATGATTTTGCATTTATGAGTTTGGTATTTGAAGTCCACCATTCTGATCTTTTTGGACATTTGGTACAACCCCTTTTTCTTCCTTGCTATCCTTCCTCGATGGAGAGTTTTACATATTGATTTGAAGATGAACTAGCGTTTGGTGTTGCTTTGAGCCTCCTGGTTGTGTATCTCAGTCTTCCATCAACCTGAGGCTATCTTCAGTGGCTGCTTTTTCAGATATTCTTCCTGACTGGTTCTCCTGCCCCTGGGATCCTGTTTTATGTTTGTTGGTGTCTGCTAAGTTCTGTTAATTTTCTTTAGCCTTTCCATTTTGGCTCCTCACGTGGGTAATTTCAGTTGTCCTATGCTTAAATTCACTGATTATTTCTTCTGCCTGGACAGATCTGGCTATCAGACCCCTCTGGGTAATCTTTTCAGTTTAGCTATTGGCTTTTCAACTCCCTAGTGTCCATTTGGTCTTCTTTTGTCATCACTTCTGTCTCTTTATTGACCTTCTGTACTTTCCCAGATGCTGTCCTTTAGCTTCTTGAGTATGTTTTAAGGCAGTTGATTTGAAGGCCGTCTGGGAAGTTCAATGTCTGGCTTCCTCTGGGTGATTTTTGTTGGTTCTTGTTTTCCTGTGAATGGGCATACTTACATATTTCTTTGGATGCCTTGTAGTTTTTTATGAAAGCAGAACATTTTGAATATCATGACATGGTAACTCCTGCATATAGGGATTAGCTCTGTGTTATGTCGAGGCTGTGGGCGCCTGTGACTTTCAGATGTCTTCACCCTGCCTTTGTAGAGACTGTAGCAGCACACTTCACTCATTGCATGTAGAGACTGAGTGTCTTGTGTTTGGTCTCAGAAGTCAGCTCCAAGTCTCAGCAGCAGCCATTGACCTGACAGAGATGTTCCTAAGTGCTGAAATGCACAAGCCTCTTCCCCACAGAGAGCATTCCCTCAGTTGCTCTGAGTTTTGGGTTAGGATCTGGGGCTTTGCAAAAGTTGGTCCTGGCAGCCGAGGCCAGTTTAGTGTTGTTTAGGTGGAAGTTCAGGTTATGGAGCTCCTCTGCCAGGTTCCATGGCTTCATCCAGGAAGGAGCATGTGGATGGCGCTATAGCATCCTTCCAGGCTTTTAATAGGATTAAATGCCTGCAAGAGGGGTGGGAGGAGCGGAAGGCTAGAGGGCCCCATCTGGTCCCAGTTGTGTGTTGTGTGTGGGAGGCTGGAGGCTCCTGGGGGCTGCGTGTCTGGGAAGAGGGTTTGGCAGGGCTTTGGGGAGTCAGTGGCGGAGGAGCCTGTGTTTCCCAGGCGGTGCTGCACTGCTGTCACTGGTACGTTCCCCCCCGCGGGAGTGTGCTGGCCTGAACTCAGTGCGGAGTCTGGCTGCGTCAGTCTGTGCACCGGGTCTGCCGTGCCCTGCTGAGGCTGTCTCCACTGTGGTGAGAGACCCCCCTGTCCTGACCCTTCATCACAGGCCTGGCACCTTAGTTTTCAGGTGAGCAGGTGGGCCTGGAGGGACCCGGGCAGCCCTTGTGTCTGAGGCTTTGATTTTTAGCCTCTGTCCAGTTTTGAGCTGTTGGACCTCCATGTTTGTAAGACAGTGGAGCCGACTGTGTAGCGTCTTTGACTTTGCTGGTGGCCTGGTGGCTCTTCTGTGCCCCTTGAGTGAGCATGTAGGGGGCAGATCTCAGTAGGCCCTGTCGGGACTATGCAGAATGGGTGTTTACTATGCTTTCTAAAAGTGTGAATTAAAGGATACTTTATTGCAATGTAATTTACCTATCAAACAATTTCTCATTTAAAGTTTAAGATTCAATGGGTTTTGATATATTGCTTTATTTTTGTTTAATTAAAACATTTTTTTTTTGGTACTGGGGATCGAACTCGGGACCTTGTGCTTGCAAGGCAGGGACAATGCCACTGAGCTAACTCCTTGGCAGGTTTTTTTTTTTTTTGGTACCAGGGATCGAACTCAGGACCTTACGCTTGTGAGGCAGGTGGTGGAACCACTGAGCTCGGCCCTATTTTTTTTTAAATTGTGTTAGAAATATATACAATTAAAAAATTTGGCATTTAATCATTTTTATACGTAGTGTTGTGTGGCATAATGTTCACTGTTGTACAGCCATTACCTCTGTCTAGTTGGGGAGCTGTCGTCATCCCATACAGAACAATCCCTGACCACTCTAGTCTACTCTCTGCCTTGTGCATTTCTCTCTTCCAGGGACCTCACGTGAGCACCAAGTTTGTATTGTGTTGGGCCTTTTGTGACTGGCTTGTTTCACCAGCATGGTCTCCAAGTCCTTCCATGCTACAGCATAGAGAGCAGCATTCTTCCTGTGTGAGGGCAGCCCATCCAGAGGCACCTCACTCTGCTCACCCCATCAGCAGGCATTTGAGTAGCCCCTTCTGTGGCTGGGGTCTGGTGCAGTGGGTGTGGAGGTGCGTGTGTTCTTTTGAGACCCCGTGATTTCCCCGCGTGACTCACTGCAGTGGGATTGCTGTGTCACGGTGGTTTGTGTGACTTTTGAAAGTTCATGCCCTGCATCCCCAAGGATAGGACCACAGGTTCCCTCATCCCCAAGGACAGGATCATGGAGACCCCATGGGTCCTTAAGGACAGGACCATGGGGCACCGCTGACTCTCCTTACTGCATCTTTAGGGTCAGTTTGCAGCTGGGGCTCAAGCACTCCTTAGGGGAATTGTGAGACTGTGCACATCACTTCCAAGTTGGTATTGGAGTTTTATGTAAATTCAACTTGTTTTGAATGAAGCGTGGTGTTTCTGTCCTGAAATTTGTCATGAGATAAAGCCATCGTCTGCTACACGTGTGTGTCAGGTGTCCAGGCCACACAAGTTTCTCAGACATGTGTTTCTTTCACAGGATAGTCATCCTTCCCTCTGTGTACTCCTTCCTGGAGAACCTGTCCTGGGGCCACAGGAGCCGCTTGCTAGTCACTTCACAGGGAGGAAAGTGTAAGAGTTAGTCAGCTGTTTCATTTCTTACTGCAATGTTTTTCTAATTTGAGTTTTAAAAAATTTATCAGTGTCAAATGCCATATTAACATGTGCAACTTCTATTTTCATGCGTGTACTATTTTCAAGTTAAAATAGTAAATTAAAAAAAGTGGAAAAAAATTGTTAGTATGAGGTTGACCAGAGCAACCTGAAACAGTGCCTTGCTGAGACACAGGCCCTGACAAGATGGCATTTAGGTCCAGGCATCTTTGGTGAGTCACGCTGCTGCCCAGAATCGGGCAGGGCTCTGCATCAGCCCTGCTCAGTGCTAGAGAGCCTAGTTCTCATGAAGTGGGAGCTGGGAATGGCAGCAGCTTGTTGTAGCTGGTGCTGTGGTTGGGACTTTGCTGCTTGCTCCTGGCAGCCTGTGCTCCACTGTGGCCAGGTTCCTGGCACCTTCTCTGCAGGGGCGCAGTGCACCCCGTCCACCTGCGGGAGGCTTCTCCTGGTCTCTCTGGTACTTGTCAGGCGCCCGGAGCTCAGCTCTTACCCTGGGGCTCCGCTGAGGCTTGTCTCCTCAGAGTGATGGCAGGGCTGTTGAGAAGGAGAGAGGACAGGAGCCTTCCCAGGCCACTCCCAGGGTCTCATGTCTTCCTTCCCCATGCCCTCGGCCCAAGGACCTGATGGTCTTTGAGGAGCCCCAGGGACACGATGGCCTTTTCCTGTTCCTGCCTCCTGCCTGCCCACACACCCGAGTCAGCTCTCAGTTAGTGCTGCCTCCGCTGCCAGCGCTTCTGCTGAGGGTTATGCACTGTACTTAAAAGGGCACCACAGAATTTACACTTGTCTTCATTTTATGTGTTGTTAAAGTTTATGAGTTTATTGAAAAATTAACAACATATACATCATTTTAGGGATGGAAAGTGAGGCTGAACAAATTAGAAAATTCACTTCGATATTACAAGCAAATGGAATAAATCAATTGTACTGTCACCAGTAATGTACCTTCCCTTGTGGAAATAAATTATTTGTATAAATAGCCCCTAGATGTTTGTGTTTCAGTTGTAACAAATCACAACATTTTTACATATAGCACTTGAATGCTAGTACTGAAAATACTTATTCCTGGTATCTTTTCAGTAACTGTTATGTACTTCAAGACATGTAGCTAGATGTAGTAGAAAAACAGTGAAGGTGGTTTATTCTAGTGCTGATGTGCTTGTAAGGACAGTGTCTGTGGAAGATGTGTGTGTCCCTCTGGTCCTGCATGTGCACTGGGATTGACAGGCACTGAGCCAAGGTTTAATGCATCGATGTGGAGTGTGTAAGGCATTCACATGTCTTTACAACCAGGAGGAGGAGAAGCACCTTTTCACATTCATCTCGTTGTCCACAAAAGCTGGACTGAGCTACGACGTCTTCCTAAGGCCAACCAGAAACTGCACCTGTGGGATCACGATGAGCAGTGCAGAGCTACTTGGGATGCGGCGCAGAGGGAAAGTCTCCTGCAGCTCCGAGGCCTTAGGACACCCGGGTTCTTCTGCGCAGAGTGAACACACGTGCCGCTGTGTCACTCGGCTTTGTTTTCTTAGCTCCTTGCTGTGATTTCCCTGCATCCCTTTGACTTGTCCTCTTTTGTCCTTTGGGCCTGAGGTCACACTGAGCTCCCTGGCTCTCCCTGGGACTGGGCGTGGCTACGTCATGGCAGGCAGCTTCCTGGGCTGTGGTCTCCCCCTCGCCCACCCGGACATTTCTGGGGCTGTAGGCCGCCAGCTGACAGAGGGCCACAGCCGCTGTCTGCTTCTGCTCCTCACTGCTGTCCACCACGCGTCCAACTGGGGCCTTCCCATCAGGGGCCTCGTTGTGCTGTGTGTCAGCCTGGCCTGGTGCGTCTCCAGAGCCTTCTGTCTCGGTCTTCTGAGCAATAGCAGCGGGTTCTGCAGCTTGGGACGAGCTGGGAGCAGTAGGCCTCGGGCCTCGGGTGATGCAGGCATCCTTCACAGAGAGGTTGAGGGGCAGGTCCTGTGGCTCGGACAAGTCCAGGGGCTCCAGGGTGCTGGCTGTGTACTCTGGTCGGTGTGTAGCAGCAGGGTTTGTCTCCGACTTCTTGGAGAGGTTGAGGGGACCTGTCTTGGAGCCATCCTCAGGGCTGGAGGGTGGGGCCTCGGGGATCAGAGAGGCACTTCCTGTCTGTGTGGCAGGATCTTCTATCGGGGCCTGGAGACTAGAAGAGCCGAGAGGGCTTAGTGAGAGCTTGCTTAGGAAAGTGATCACTAAAGCATTATGTACAGAAGTGAATGTGGCCAGTTGAACACAACCAAAAAAATTACACTGAAGGGTTTGAAAATAAAATTTTCTTACCTTTTGGGCGACTCTGCTCTGTTTGCAGGTGGCTGGGACTGAGGGTATTCTGTGCTCTTCTGGACAAGCTTGAAGGCTGTGGGGCTGTGTTTGGGCTGCTGGAGCCATCCTGGGGTGTCTGAAGCTGCCTTGTTTGAGAGGTCACACAGGCCTTCACATGTCTGGCTGGTCTGTGTGAAGTTGGTGGGGCTTGGTCTTCCCGGGGAGCCTGTGGCTGCACTGCCTGCACGGGGGCTCATTTTGGCTCCTTCTGTGTCTTTGGAAAGGTCTTTAGCTTCAGGAGTTGGGCTTCCTTTCTCAAACTCTGTGTCTTTCTTGTGGGGGTTCGAAGGGTTTAACTCAGAGGGGCTCAAGGCCGGGTAGACCAGGGCAGCATCCTCCAGCAGGCGAGAGCTTTGGTCTCGTGAGATGCCAGCCGCAGGTGGAAGCCTGAGGCCATAGGAGGTGAATGCTGACTCGGGTCTGTATAAGCCATAAGGAAGGGGCAGGTTGGTGTGGAACTGGGGGAACAGCCTGTAATGGTCATATGCTGATGGAGATGGGGCCAGGTGCTTGGGGAGTGGCCCGGGGTGAGGCAGGAAGTGTCTTTGGTCTTGGGCGCTGTAGACGGACAACAGGGTGGTGTCACACTCGGGTGCGTTCCCAGCAAGGAGGTAGGGGGAGTAGATGGTGGCCAAGCCGTGTTCTGTGTAGAAGGGAGGGGGGTACTCTGGGATTGTGGAGTGCACATAGGGAGAGATGGTGCCGAAACCCTTTGAGGATGGGATTTTATGTGGAAACTCGGGCGTGAGGAAAGGGGAGCCAGCTTTCCAGGGGTAGCCAGGTGTGTGGAATGCAGACTTGGCATGGAAAGATGTGGCTTTTGCTGTGGGGTTGGTCAGCGCCAGTGCCTCGGGAGCCTCTGCATGGTCTGGCCCCTTGAGTCTGTGCTCCCCAACTGGAACAAATGCTGAAGGCCGAACCATGCTGTCCGGAGATGGCTGGGTGCTGAGGGCAGCTTCTGGGGCTGGCTCCCTCTGCAGGGCCGGCCTCTGAGGGCACCTGTGGGCTGCCCGAACCGGCAGCTCCAGGTCTTCCTTGGCGTCCTCCTTGGCAGGGCTGAGCTGTGGCTTTGGGTTGAGGCTGGAAAGCCCGTGGGTGGTGAGGGCCTTGGTGGGGGCTGACTTGGCCGTGGGCTCTGGCTGGAGGGCCTGCCGAGGGTCCAGGGGACTGGGCTTGGGCCCCTTGGGGGCGCGGTCCTGCTCGGACACTAGAGTGATGGAGTTCTTGCAGAGCCCGTACTTCATGTGGTTGAAGAGGTGTGACTTCTCATTGCAGGTGAAGGGGCACTGGAAGCACTTGTACTTGAAGGGTTTCCCTGGTGGCCGTGGAATGTAATGCGGCTTTTTCGGTTTCCGCTCTTTGAGAAGACTCATGTCCCCTGTGTTTCAGACTCCAGTTGGCTGAATGATGGGGTCACTGCAGACTCCTCTTCAACCCCAACTTGGTGGCCGTTAGGAAGGCGAGTTCCCGTCTCGCCTCTCTTTTCCGAGTGCTGGGGTCAGCTCCACTGCCAAGGAGTCACGAGAGGTCTTGCCTTGTGGTCCCAGAGCTGTAAGGGAGAGCAGAGGCTGAGTCAGGATGGGGCTTAGTAGGTCAGGGTCCTTGTTATCTTCCTGAAGGAGGAAGGGGCAGAGGCCCTTCGAGGAAGCTGTGGTACCCTGCATGCCTGCATGCCTGCTCCACTGGATGCCAGCTCCCTGCAGTGTTTGCTGTTTGCTCAAGTCTGACCTGGAAGAGTTCCCTGGGGGCCGAGAGTGTGCAGTGTGTGAAGGCCAAGAGTCAATTCTGGGAGGACCTGTACTTCTCTGGGTTTGGGGGACTCTTACCCCATAATCTAGACCTTCCCTCTGGAGTGCCCTGAAGGGCTGAACTTCAGCCCCTTGCCTGTCTCCTCAGGGCTTTGGGATGGGCCCTGGCACAGCCTGCCTGGCTGCCTGCTGGTGCTTGGAGTGGCATCCTTCAGCACTGTGTGTGTGGTGTGCTATTCAGCCGAGGCTGGTGGCCGCCCTGCCGAGGGAGCCACGTCGTTGGTATGTTCTGCGTGTGGGTGTCATGAGTGAAGATTATTTAAACATGGCTCCACCCTATTGCTTCCAAAACCACAAATAAAAAGTCAACTCTTTCTCAGTAAGTTGCACTTTGTTTTTTCCGGTGCCAGGGATGGAACCTAGGGCCTAACTCATGGTACCAAGTGCTCACATAGAGCCACAACCCCAGTCCTAGCAAGTTGAATTTTTGTCGTCTCCATACAAACACCAGTGACGTATTTAGTTTGCTTTAAACAGTTTGCAGCGGTGCCAGGGTGAGCTTGCTGTGTCCTGTGTGGTGTCCCCTCCTCAAAGTAGAGTTGGTTCTCCTGTCCACCCTGTCCTTCCACAGTGTGCCTCTGAACAGACCTCCACGTGGCTGTCTTCTGGACCATGGGAGGCCCTCTTGGCCTTTAGCCTCCAGGAAGGGGCAGGGCCTCCAGCCTGCTTCTCAAGCCCTTGGGACTTGTAGGTAGGAACTGGAGGTTCCCTAAGGGTCACCCCATCCAACACACACCCCACTTCACTGTGCCTCCTGACCCAAAGCTGAGAGCAGAGGGCAGCTGCTGCCCTGGACCACTGGTGAGGAGTCCAGGTGCCTAAATTCACTTGGACACATGAAAAGGCAAAGGTCTCCAGCTCCTTACTATTTTCAAATAGCTTAAAAATAAATTTCAGTGGAACTGATGTAAGAAAAGTGTTTCCAGATGCAAAACCGAGTCTGTGGGACTTAAGATGTCAAGCAGTGCCTTCTAGACTCAGTGGTCAGATGTCCTGGAGATCAGGGGAGGCTCCTGGCCTCAGGCAAGCTCTTAGCTTTCTCACACTCCCAGTATCCCCAAAGAAACTATCTGATTTTATTCGGATTTTCTACTAATTTATTCATTATTTCTTAAAAACACAAAGAACTATCCTGGATGTCCCCAGCTGCCTCTGATGGCATAGTTTAAGATTTTAAGACTTTTTTTTTTTCATGCTGGGGATTGAACTCAGGACCTTGTGCTTGCGAGGCAGGCGGCTTAAGACTTTTTTGTTAATAGTGGTTTTGGTGGAAAAGAGGACTCTGCTGAGACCAGAAACCTCCCACTTCAGAGTTTCTTTGCGGCAGTGAATTTGGGATGAGAAAGTTTTTGTTGCCCTGTAAGTGGGGCGGGGTCAGCCCAGGACCCCCGCTGGGGTGTGGGCCAGCAGCCCTCTGGACCCACCTGGACCTGTGCTGTGTGTGGGGGCAGAAGCTCCAGGTACCATGTCAAAGCCAAGTTAGCTACAAGTGGAATGATGGCTTTGAGACTTTCCTCTTTACCCTCTTACTAAAAAGCGGTGACATGTGATTCTCTGGGGTCCAGCTGTACGGGGGGGGGGCGGGGAGGAGCAGAGCACAGGGCTGCCCTGCCCCCTCCAGGTTGCGAGCAGCGGGCCTGGTTCCTGCTGTGCAGGCCAGCCGAGTAAGTCAGCAGGGCCTGTGCCGGCATGCTCAGTGTGCTCCCGGTCCGCAGGCGTGGGAACCGCAGCGAGGCAGGTTCCCAGCGCCTGGAAGGATATGTCATGGCATAGATCTGAGAGCAGTGATTTCATCACTCCCTGGGAGCATCGTGAGCAACACAATGACAGTTGCAGACATTTATCAAGTGTGAGCCGAATCCCAGCTATGCGATACCAAGGGGGACAGACATGGAGCCTCAAGCGCCGGGAGGACAGAAAGTCCCCTCAGGATGTAAGAAAGTGGTGTGACATGCATCTAAACAGCGTTACTTCCTGTAACAGGAGGAGATAAGCGCCCCACGGTGGTCAGGTTTCCTTGTCTTAGGGAGGCAGGCAGTGTGCGAGTTATCCATTAGTATCGCCCAAAAAGAGTAATTTGGGAAGTAGCTACTCATGGTTATCAGCACACCTTCCGCCACACACACCCGTGCCTGAAGCTGCGTCTGAACCTTTCCCTTTCTGCTCCTTTCTGCTCAGTTTCTGGGCTGTGTGTGTGAGGGGTGTGGCTTCCTGGTGCCCACATGCTTGGAGGTGAGGGTGTTGTAGGGTTTACTGCTTGAAGGGAATGTGCATAAAGTGCGCTGCTATTTTAGTAACTTTGGATAAACTGACCTCTCCGGTTGCACAACTGCTGGTTAAAAAGCAGGGCACTCAGCTGCTTCAGAGGCAGGTGTAAGAGGGCGTAGCTCACCTGTCTATAAAACCACTGACATGCTGGAGAAGTAAGTGGGATAAAATTGATGCTTTTGTAAGCTTTCGAATGATGATGTCAGCCTGTGAGTTCACTGTCCTAACTCAAGGGAGGTTTACGAGGATGAAGAAACTAACCTACAGCCGAGACCACAGTCAGTCACACACGGCTGTGGGCACAGAGGTCTGATACATCCCGTCCGGTCAGTTTATGCCTGCTGGACTTTATGCTGCTGCTGGGGTAGTAGTCCAGAAAGACCATGTTGTTGCCAAAACAGTAAACCCCAGAGCTTTGTTTATAGTCATTTTGGATTTGCATTGAGGCAAAGTTTCCCGGAAGGTGAGGAGAGATGTCCCTGTCCCTGTCCCTGTCCCTGTCCCTGTCCCTGTCCTGGTGGGCATGTTTCTGCCTTGGGATTGTGCACCTGGGGAGTTGTGTGGGGCTCTGGGTGGAGGGTAGTGTGGGCCCAGGCGAGCTCTCCCCACTGCCCCATCTGCCTGTCCTTGCTGTTCCCTGTTGATGGGCAGGAGAGGCTGCGATGGTACCTCACAGCCTCCCAGCCAGGCCTCTCTCCTCTGCCTGCCCTGGAGCACCACCCTGCTGGGTGCCAGGAGCCTCCTCCGAGTGGTCTTCATGTGGTGTAGTGTCCACCCTAAAGGATGTGAGAATGGTGAGGGACGCAGAAGGCTGCGCAGGGCCCGGCCAGTGCTCCCAGCTGTCCTGCTGCGTGCGCAGATGCCTTGCTGACCTGGTGTCCCGCATGTCTCCATGTGCCCCGTGCTCTGCTGCTGACTGGACCCGGTAAAGGCCCAAGAGCTTGCTCCTCTACTGCAGCGCCCCGGCCTGGCACAGCTGCCCACACAGGGCTCTGAGCAGGTTGTGGTTTCAGTTGGCACCAGCTCCTGTTTATCTCAATTTAAAAGCCCTGTACTCGGCTGCTCCCTATGTGGACACTTAATGCGTTGCCTGTTAGGACCGCAGTAGTGGGTGGTGTGTCTCCAGTATTTCTAAGAGACTTGGACTCAGGAAACAGCACTTTTGTTAAGGACTTTGCTAGGACACAGTGGAGGTAATTACAGCCTGGCATTATAGCATGGCGCTGGCTGCACCAGGCACTGAGGTGCTCGCCCTGCCTGCTGGCCTCTGGATGGAGGAGAGCCGTGACACTGTTGATGGTGTCCAGCTGCCTGGCACTGAGCCTTGCAGGTGGAACGTCCTGAAGGGCATGCTGTAATTACCACCTGTGATGTGGCATTATTGCGCCACTCAAGGACATGCCATTGTCAGCTCCCACTGGGGTGTTGCAAGAACAAGATTTGTGAGTTTTTCTCCAGTTGAGCCTTCGCTGTGACTGGCGGCTACTCCTCCCAGCTTTCTGCTCTCTAAAATGAAGGGGAAGCCTCAGGACGACCATGACCTAGGGAGGAGGCACTTTCCTGGAGTATGATTTGGAAGAAAGGAACCAGAAAACAGCCAGAAGCCCTCTGTCATGCCCACGCAGTGCCAGTGCCTCCTGTTCATAGCAGACATTGCAAAACACCGGAGACCTCATTTTAGTGCAGGTGGACTCGGGCCGGGTGGACAGAGGCTGCTGAAGTCTGACTTGGGTCAGGCTTGGCCAGTAATGTGGTCAGTAATTATTTTCCTATAGACTTCTGAAAGAAGTTCCATATAAGGAAAAATATCCCTTTGTGTGTGTGTGTGTGTGTGTGTGTGTGTGTGTATGTAAATGTGTGAATGTGTAACCTTAACAACCAAACAAAAACCTATTCTTGCTTAAAAGGTTATGTCAAAACAGTACTTACTTTAAACTTTAAAAGTTAAAAAAAATTAAATGAGAAATTAAAGTCAGCAGCTATTTAATCATATCCATACATGCATATATATTTCTTACCTCTTTTAATGTTGAAATTTATTGAAGCTTAGTTTTCAGGTAAGGGAGAGTTAAGCAATAATATAAAGTCACATTTTGGTTTATCTTTTATGAGTTTTATGGCACAGATGAGGACTTGATTTCCAAGTAAGCCTGTTCATGCCAGCCTTGGAAGAAAGTGCAACCCTATTACGAGTTTTGTGGCTGGTCTGTGCCTAGGCAGAGCACCTGCCGGGTCCTGACTCGTCCTCAGGGCCCAGAGCAAGCCGGTGGTTCATTCAGCCAGATGCCTTAAGACCCTTTGGAGAGTGGTTTGGAAAGAACTCGGATCTGAGAAGAAATCGCAAGCACTTACCAGGTGTGTGGTGCGGTCAGTGGGTCGGTCGGTGGGTCGGGATGCAGGTCTCTGCTGTGTGGCGCTGGGAGCAGGATGTGTTCTCACGCTGGGCTGGCTCGGTGAAACTGGAGCTGGCTGCTGTGGTGGGAGGGGTTTAAGTGTAGGAGTTGAGCCCTCAGGGCGTAGAGATGCACCTGATATTCCTCCGCCTGCAGCTACGCTTCATGTATTTGCACCCACTGAGTGCCACACAGCCTGGCCGAGCAGGGACCCAGCCAGCCAGTCACCATGCCTCCTGACACCCTGTCAGTGCTGTTCCGGCCGAGACTGGGGGTGCACAGGGTCGGTATTGCCCACAGCTGGGTTCAGATGCTGTGTGTAGTCGTCCTCTGGTACTTTTGGTGGCAGGGTAGTAAGGACACACATGGACTCCCTTTAGAGCCCTGGTCTGTACTAGTGGCAGGGAAACACTGGGTTTGCTCTGAAATGGGCACTGGGAGGTGCAGTGCTTGTGTGCCCTTGCGGGAGAGTCAGCATGAGCTCTTACACCTGCACGCCTCTTACCCTGCACCCCGTCTTGGCTGGTCCCCGAGAGAGCTAGAGAGCTGAGTGGTGAGGAAAAGCCAGCCCCGCCGCCTGTCACGGGGACCTGCTGGAGCATGCCCAATGCCTGCACCGAGCTGGCTGTAGGCAGCAGTGCTGCCAGTGGGAGTCAGCTTTGCACACCTGGATGTCCCTTTAAAAATAACTCAATTCCATGGGCCGGGGATTTAGCTCAGTAGTTCCGCTGCCTGGCTTGCAAGCGCAAGGTCTTGAGTTTGATCCTCGGTACCAAAAAAAACCCCAACAAACAGAAACCCAAACCTCAATTCCTTAATTTTAGGGCCAGTTTATTCTCTCTCCAAACCACTTGCCCGTTAATCTGAGGCTCCCTTTAGGCTGCAGTGAGAGTTGGCATACGGTGTCACTGGGGCAGCGACGGAAGATGCAGCACTGGTGGCAGGCCTTTGGTCACACCCGAAGCTGCTGGAAGGGGGATCTGCACCAGAGGCTGATGGACAGGCTTTCAGACGGGCACACTGGGTTTACCGCTTACGTAAGACTTACAAATTCACTTGGCTTCACCTTTATATTTACATTTAATGCTTAACAGTTTTTTTCGGTTACTTTTATTCCAGTCACATATATAAGTTAGAGTCAAAAATAGTCTTGTCACAGCGGCACCAATTTGCCTTGCTGGAGACCAGCTGCTGTGGACTCAGTGGCTTCAGTTGTCCACTCTGTCTCTGCCTTGTGTCTGGGGTCAGGACTCCGGGCAGCACTTCTGTCTGTGGGTGCTGGCAGAGGCCAGCCAGTGGGGTCCCCCTCTCCCTGCTCTGGAGGGTTCCAGGCTGCCTCTCCAGTGGAGGTCATGGCTTTGTGGTGCTCAGGACCCCAAGAATAAGACCAGGCTAAGAATCCTAGGGTCACTTGTGCTGCCCTCACCAGGTTGGAAGCATGTCCTTGCTCAGCCCCGCTGTCCGTAGCATCCCTCTGACCCACCCCAATGCCACATCAGACTGACCCGTTGCCAGTCCTGCCCCAAAGTCTGGTGTCTGGGCCACCATCCCTCATGGCAATGGAGCTCAGTGCTGCTGCTTCACGCCCTGCTGTCCCTGCCTGGAAGCCTCCACCTATCCCCCAGCCGGATGCTGCTCCTTGGACCCACAGTCTCACTCTCCGCCCGTTGTACAGCTTGCATTTCTTCCTTCAATGGCCATCTTGCGAGTTTTTCACCACACTGGTGTCACGCAGTGTAGGTGTCAGGGAGCTGATTCCAACACCTTAGTGGTGGTATTTACTGTTGGTTCAAGATTCTCCCTTCCAAGGTGGGGTCTCCACTCAGTGAAGGCTGAGCCAGAGGGTCAGATACAGGGCCCCTCAGCCTGCCTGGCTAACTGCCAAGACTCTGGGTCTGGCATTTTCTGAAACTTTGAGTCACCTGTTCTAGGGTGGTTTGTGACTGACCCGGGTTTCCTGTCTGTATGCAGGTGGTCTCCTTCCTCTGCAGTTCTTACCTCCCTGCCTCTTCCTTATGCAGTCCTTTTTTGATAGCTTCCTCTTATCTCTCTGAGAACTTCAGTGACAGTGTCTGGAAGGCTGGGTGGGTGGTGGGCCTGCTTTGTCCTGTCCTATGGGCTTTCTGTTTCCAGGCACCACATCCAGGGGCTTTCTCCCCGGGTGACACTTCCTCATTGACATGGTTGAAGGAACTGGAATTCTTGGGGGACCGTGAACTGGGACTCCGTGGTGTCTGTTGCACCAGGAGAGTTGGGGCTTCATCCCATGGGCCTGTGTGCTTCCTAGCTCCTGTGCCTTTCCTGTGGTTGCCTTCCCTGTCCTCTGTGACCCTAAGCTCAGGCCTCAGAAAGGAAAAATGTCTTTCCAGTTGTTTTTGGCAAGATTCAGCAGCCGTGTGTGTCCAGGTCACCACAGTACCCAGAAGTTTGGTGGTGGCACTTCCAGTCAGGAGGGTCCAGTCTCCCGAGCAGTGTGGTAGCAGCGGGCGATCCTCCGAGGACGGGTCCGTGCGGAGCCCCTGCCCATGACGTAGGTATCTGCGGCAGGTCTGTCAAGCCCCTTCACAGTCTTTCACAAGCCATCTTTGAAGACGGAAAGTCAGTCACGCTTTTGGCCTCAAGGAGAAACACAGTGGCTGCACTCTGACTCTGTGCTTTTCCCGGGGCTGTGTCTGGAGGGACGTGGGCAGGCAGGGAAGGTGCTGGGAACAGTCAGAGCAGGGCACTTTGGGTGTGGCCTGGCAGGAACACCCTGACTCTCTCAGTGCTGGCCTAGGGGTTGGCCTAGGACCCCGGGTGGCCCACAGCATGAGGTTGTTCCTCAGCTGTCTGCCAAGATGCAGGGTGACAGTGACCTGGCACATCAAGAAGCCATGGCAGGTGGCTGTGGCTTCCCTTCCCCACAGGTCCTGCCTATGGGACCAAGCAGGGCCGTGGGGTCTGTGAGGACCTCACACCTTGTCCTCGCTGTTTGTCAGGAGTCAGGGATGTCTGGCATAAGATTTCTGGGTCAGCCTTGCCCCACCTTCTTGTTGAAAATGCTGCTCAGCGTTTCTTCTCCCACGGGAATTGCCACAGTGAGACTCTGATTCCCTGGCACCCAGAGCTTTGGTCTTGAGCTGGCCTGGGGTGATGGCCCCCTTCCCTTGCATCCTCTGCACCCCCTGAATCCGCTGCCTCCCTCCCAGCCTTCCCTCTGATTCTGACTTCCCTTGGGGTCTTCCCTGCCCACTTTTCCTTCCTCCTTGGTTTCCTCTTTTCCTGCCCAGTGTCAGGGCTGGTGCTCCTATGGATGGAGGCTCTGTCTCCAGTGGTCTCCAGACTGTCCTAGACTTGGTTTTGCGCCCTTGGGTTGCTTAGAGCTGCCCACAGGGGCTGCCCCCCCCCCCATTCCTCGCAGCAGCTCCTTGTTGTTCCTCCCCCACCTTCCCTCGTGGCCTGGAGCCCATTCAGGAGCCAGCAGGCAGCTCCTGGACCCTCAGTTGCCTTGAGGTGGGGGCCCCTCCAGGGACACACATTATTTCTCATTTGAAACAAAATCTGAGATTTGAGTGGCTGTCACTGATTTTGTCAGTTAATAGAAGTGAACATGAGAGGGCCTGGCATATAAGAAAATGGGGGCGTGCTGTTGCTGGGCGTGTATTTTCCTGATGATGTGCACAGAGGACTGCACTTGTAACCTGAGGCTGAGCTGTGTAATGCCATCGCTTGTAATTGATTATTCAAATAATGCCACGGTTTGAGTTTTTATGGAGCTAGAGCCAAGTTCTGGGGAGGGGAGGAGATGGGAGACTGCCCTTCTCCCTGTGCCCCTGAGCTGTCTGTCTGGGATGGTGTGCACCAGCTCCGAATGTGGCCTGTGGGCAGCCCATGTACCGCGCTGCCTGCCCGGGCTGTCCCTCTGACAGCTGCTGGAAGTGGACTTGTGGCTCCTTGTGAGCCTCAGGGTGAGAGGTAAAGCTTTCCCCCTGTTTGTGTAACCAGCCCTGGTTCTCTGCCCCTTCCTGGTGTGGTTGGTGCCACCACTGTGTCCAGAGGGAAACCTGAAACCCCGCCTGCTTAGTTTGTGAACTTGGGCCAAGTTGGAGGCCTTGCAGTGGCTCTGCTCCCTGCCTGGCAGCACAAGCAGAGCATCAGCACTTGGAGCCCTCACCCGTTCTTCTTCAGACCTGCAGGCTGTCCAGGAGCAGTGGTGAGCCTGCGGGGTCTCCACACATGTGCGCAGCCAGGCCCGAGCTGTTGGGCAAACTGAACTGGTTGGTGAAGGAAACTCATGTAGGTCTCTCCTTTTCCTTTGTACTGTGGATCCGAGCACCAGTGAGAGACAGAATGAGTACCTTGATTAGCAGACTGCTGGGGAAGGTCTTCCCCAGGCCCACCACCCTCTCTCCTCTGCCCACTGTCTCAAGGGTGTGTCCCAAGTCAGTCAGGATTGGTCCCCTGCAACACACATCTTTTGTTTTTGTTTCTTTTCATCATCAGGGATTGTGCTCCAGGGCCTTCACGCTGAGCTACATTCCAGCCCTTTTTTTAGTTTTAAGTTTTGAGGCAGGGTCTTGTTAACTCACAAAATTGCCCAGGCTAGGCTCAAACTTGTAATCCTCCTGCCTCAGCCTCCCAGAGTGCTGGGATTACAGGTGTGTGCAGTATACCTGGCTGCAGTGCACACACATCTTCAGTCTTATTTTTGAACATTTCATTTGGCTCATGTCCTTGCTCCTCCTGAGCAGTGGTTTCCACTCCTTTCATTGCTGACTTTTTTTATCGTGCCTTTTTGGGTACTGTTATCTCAAGTTCATGTCCCTTTCCGAAAGTGAGAATTAAATGCAAGTTGCCCTTTATCAGACATGTGTTGTGTGCTAGGCATTGCTCTCAGCATAGGATCAACCGTGAATCTGCATGGCTTCCCAGGGGAACAGCCTTAATGAGGTGAGAAGGACTTGGGGGCCCAGAGTCTGCCTCCAGCCCCTTCCTCTCTGCACGGTGGTGCAAAGCGTCCTTCCACAGATATGATCACGGTACCCTGCCGGGGGCTTCGCATGCTGGTATCTTAGCCGGGAAGGGCCACTCTGCATGTTCGGAGATGGAAGTGAAGAGGGAGCTTGTTGGGGGGTCCTTCCTGGCCCCTGCAGCACTTGCACCTCTCTGGCTGGAGATGTGCACAGACTGGGTACTCACCACAGCCCCAGCTCCATTCCTGCATTTAGCTTGTGTGGTGCCCATGGCAGCTCTGGGCTGATACAGGTTCCCAAGTCATTGCTTAAACCATGAAAAAGCA